GTTGGTAGAGATACTCCAGCCAAGCCCTGATATCCATATATATATATATATATATATATATATATATATATATATATATATATATATATATATATATATATATATATATCATGTTCACACAGAATCACGCGTCCAGTGTTCTGTCCGCTCAGCCACCGGCTCCCCTAGCCTCAGCCTCCCCTAGCTGATATGATATATATATATATATATATATATATATATATATATATATATATATATATATATATATATATATATATATATATATATATATATATATATATATATATATATGTCGTACCTAGTAGCCAGAACGCACTTCTCAGCCTACTATGCAAGGCCCGATTGCCTAATAAGCCAAGTTTTCATGAACTAATTGTTTTTCGACTACCTAACCTACCTAACCTAACCTAACCTAACTTTTTCGGCTACCTAACCTAACCTAACCTATAAAGATAGGTTAGGTTAGGTTAGGTAGGGTTGGTTAGGTTCGGTCATATATCTACGTTAATTTTAACTCCAATAAAAAAAAATTGACCTTATACATAATGAAATGGTTAGCTTTATCATTTCATAAGAAAAAAATTAGAGAAAATATATTAATTCAGGAAAACTTGGCTTATTAGGCAAATCGGGGCTTGCATTGTTGGCCAAAAAATGAGTTCTGGCTACTAGGTACGACATATATATATATATATATATATATATATATATATATATATATATATATATATATATATATATATATATATATATATATATATATATATATCATGTTCACACAGAATTATTTCCATATCATGATGAGTTTTTGCTTTGGGAAAGATAAATATTCAATTTCATAGGAATATTTCTTATTCATGAAAACTTATCAATTTCGTTGTAAATTTGCATGTGCGTGTTTCTGTTTTCCCTCGTTGTTCCTACAAAGTTGCGACTACTAAGGGCTTTACTTTAATATTCTGGAAGAATATTAAAGTACTCGAGAAACAAAAAAGAACGTAATACTGAAAGATATGGCTTTGTCACATTACTCCATTAGTATTCTGCCTCTAACTTTTTCTCTTTGCCTCCTTCCTCGCAGGTATTTGTATCATCAGTCTTTACACTTTTCTGTTTTGCCGGATTAATTTTCTGTATTGTATTCTGTCATTATATAATAGGACCGTCACAATGGCATTTTGGCCCCGTCAAGAAAGATGCAATTCACACATCCATCTCCATTGAAAATATTAAGATTAATAATTCCAGTATCTTTAAGAGAATATGCAAATGATTTTTTTAACTAATTTCTAACCTTCCTGCTTGCTTCCCCCTTCTCTTCTTTGTCGCGTCTCCTACATTTCCCGAACCTCCCACACTCTCCCCCAAGCGTAGTTAAGAATAGTTCCTGTCCTTTACAATGATATACCATACCTTGCCTTCTCTGTAATATTTCTCCTCATGTTTATAGTATGTTTCATGTAATATTGACACTTTATTCAACTTAGAGAAGACTGACCAGGTAGGAGTTAGGAAAAATGATTCGAGTAATTTGTTCTGTTATTTTGTTAAATTCTTAATAAGAAAACGCGGCTCTTACACTAACTTAAAGCGAAATACACTTACCATCAGTATATAGCATTTTGATAACTCGAATACGAACAATGATTAAATCCAATAAACAGTATTCTCTGCATTTTCACATGCAGATAATAACAGAATAGATTACTGAAGCCTTGTTCACTACATTACAACAAAATAAGAGAATAATTTTTGCTTCGAAAGTCGACAGAAATAATTTATTGAAATGACAAATTCGCTCCTTCAGTATTTGCCCTGGAGTTTAATACGACCTGGGTGACGAGCCATGCCGGGCTTTCCTCTTTCATCACCACCCACAGAAAATGTCAAACTAATTAAATTCTTATCTTTATGATCCCTGGAAGCCTTAATCAGTAGCTCTGGACAACCACTGTTTGGTAAAATTCATTTAATCATTCCACTCCCACTCTGAAACTCTATACTCAGCCGACCCATTGCAGTTCTCCATTCAACCCTCCCACTGCTATGTCAGACTCATCCACTATTGTAATTCCCTATTCAACTCCCACGGCAATGACTCACTCAACCCTTCCTTCTGTAATCCCTCACTCAACTCGGTGCGCATTATTCATCGAGACTGTACCGAACTTCTCAGCGTCACATGCACAGAGAGCTGAAATGTACCTGTTGGAGGTTGACCAATCCACACACTAGAAAATGAAGGGACGACGACGTTTCGGTCGCCGTCGTCACAATCGACTTGAGAATGGTCCAGGAAGGACCGAAACGTCGTCGTCCCTTCATTTTCTAGTGTGTGGTCTGGTCAATATACTTCAGCCACGTTATTGTGACTCATCGCCTGCGTACCTGTTGGAGGGTCAGTAGGTTATTATGACGGCCTTACTGACCCTCAGGATAATAACATAAGCCTTAAGCCCAACAGCAACAACTTTCAAGAGGGATTAAATAATTAACATTACTAATGCTTCATCTCTTATATAAAACAGAATAGAACACTTGAAGGCTCTCTCGTCTCTCTCTCCTATGAATAACGAGCCAGAAGCAACGGCAATGGTTAATGATGCTACACCAAGCAACTATATAAACAACTATATAAACAACTATATAAACAACTATATAAACAACTATGTCAACTGTTTCTACTGTATTCTGATGAAACGTATATACACTAATATTCTACTAATACCAATTCAGACGCAAATAATTTATGCTTGCGACATCATGCGATAAATGGGCTCTGTGAATAGCAAATCACTTGACCTTCCTTTGTTCTGCTTCTTTTTCTGAGCTTCAGGCCAGTGTTTCTCCTCCTTGAAACTAACTACCGAAACTAACTTCATCTCAGATAGTTCTTCTTATTTAAGGGAATCGAAGTCCCTATGCATTTTTATGTTTCCATTTAGCTATCCCCTCGAAGTTTATCTTACTTTAAAGAAAACCTGTTTAAATCTTTCAGTTTTGGTTCGTACCCTGGAAACACAAACCGAAACTGTCTCTATTTACCGCTTGTTACAACTTGAAATAAAGTTGTTACATCTTGGCTTAACGTGTTTATGACGTACTAGAACGTTGTTACAACTTGCTATATTGGTTTTTATAACTGGTTAGGTGTTAAAACTTGTTCGAACGTTGTACCAACGTCATAGTTTCGGTGTGTTTTTGGCGGGTAGGTCTATTTCTTAACGATGGTATTTGCTTAGTCTCCCTTATCCTTGCTCTTTGCATCTCCACCGCTCACTGAATGCCTGATGTTTGGAAACGATTATGTCGTCGTAAATTTACGGTGATTCATAACGATAACTTTTTTTTTAAGGTAAAAGCCTTTGGAACAATATTTCGGTTTAAAACAGTCACTACCGCTGTTTGAGGGAGACAGAAACGTATATTTCCTTCGTTTTCTTGGGTATTTGGGTTCCAGTTGTGCTTTAACGGAAAGCTGGCGAGGCTGGTGAGGTCACTTTCCGGATACTACCTGCAAACCAAATTAGAAATTGAACTGCATCCGTTGTTGGAATCGAATTCGGGGAACGGGATTATTTGGCCAGAATGATATCCACTCCACACATAGTCAACTACAGGAAATAATTCTAAACACACACACACACACACACACACACACACACACACACACACACACACACACACACACACACACACACACACACACACACACACACACACACACACACACACACGCTAGGAGCTCGCGGCTGAATGGACAGCGCTCTGGGTTTATAGTTCTAAAGTACCGGGTTTGGTTACCGGCAGAGGCAGAAACAAATGGGCAGTTTCTTTCATCCCGGTGCCTCTGTTCACCTAGCAGTAAATAGATACCTGGGAGTTAGACAACTGCTACGGGCTGCTTCCTAGGGATGTGTGTGTGTGTGCGTGCGTGTGTTAAAAAATATGTGAAGTAGATATATTAGAAAAAAAAATAGATTTAGATTAGTTAGAAAGGCGGTTATATATATATATATATATATATATATATATATATATATATATATATATATATATATATATATATATATATATATATATATATATATGTATATGTATATGTAACTGCATAACCCTGCATAATAAAGTGTACACCATAATAAAAAAAAGGGGGGGGGGGGGTGGTGGTAGGAGAAGCGAACACTCTTTCGTATTCAGAGTTAAAGGGCAAGTTTTTCCCTGAATGCTCTGTGTTCCCTTCCCTGAGGCTGTGGGTCCCTATAATTGCATCAGTGGTGGTACCCCCCTATATATATATATATATATATATATATATATATATATATATATATATATATATATATATATATATATATATATATATATATATAATGTCAACCACAATAAATGTATATATATTTATATATCTATATATAGCTTAGTCATATTTTTATTTATATTTGCATGAATGTTTTCACAAAGTATTACTTTTGCCAGCTGCGGGAAGAGAGAGGAGGAAGAGAGCCTACCACTTTTCTGTCTAGTAATATTTTTCGTGGCTTGTTTTTCCCTACAGTTCTATATTTTCCCTCAGATAACATCGACACATACTTTTTTTCTTTTTTGGTGTTTTTCCATTTGATATACGTCTGCTGGAATCGTTTCCGTTATAAATTCCTAACCAAAAATGTCACATTTTTTTAATTGTTACAAAAAGAAAAGTAATTTCAGCTGAACATAATTACCCAAACATGGTACCGGAATACCGCTTATCATTAATTCCCTTTATCTTGTTAGTAGAGTAAGGTAAGAATTATTGTTTTAATGTTAAAGCAAGAATGCGGGAATAAGATTTCAATTTTAGTTTCGTGAACCCAGGTGCAGCTTCTATATATTCATGGTATTCCTTGCAAAAGCTGGTTTTATTGTGACGGCTCGGACAAGTAAAACAAACACAGATTCAATGCAGATCTGAAGCAAAGACAAAATGTGCAAAGTTTTTTTTTAGGTCTGGA